ATATTTATGGGTTTCACTTTAAACAAATAGGGTTCAGAAATTAAACCACGTAACTGAAATATTAATATAGTTTATAATAATTTATAAAACATAACTTGTATAAAATAAATAATGGTAAGTTAAAACATACGTAAAATACATTATGGTGACTCAAGGTATAATATAACTTACCTTAACTTTAATATCTCACTCTTTCTTTCCATTATCAAAGACTCTCTTATCTTCCATCATTTCTTTCTTTATTTCTTTTCCTTTCTATATCCTTTCCAGGTGAATCACCTCCCTATTTATAGGGATTCCATTCGTGAGCCCCAAGCCAAACTCGTACACGTGGCCAGTGCGAATCGTGCCACAGATATGATAATAAATTATAAAGATTTATCCTTATCTTTAATATATATTTAAGATAATTACACTTTGACTTAATATTTTAATATAATTATATAAATTAATTAATTATTAATTAAATTACACTTTATCATATACCAATAGAAAATTAATTATTTATTTTACTACCACCCTATTATTATTATTATTATTATTATTATTATTATTATTATTATCAATATTATTATTATTATTTATATTTTGACTCATAAACTTTTAATAATTATATTATTTTACAAAATTACACATAATAATATATAATAAATTATATATTTTTCGAACTGTGATTAAATAATATTAGTATAAATTTTACAGAATAATTAAAAATTTGGGTTGTTACACCACCTGCGGGTAGCTCACCGTCGTTGTGTTCTCAGGTTTTTCGGAGTGAAGCGAATCTTGGACACAGGAATACGAGGAGCGACGAATATTTACTCTCCGTACAATATATATATTATATATAATATAATATATTGAACATAACTGCCCGGTTTCAAAACCCATTATGGGTCGCCGTTTAACCAGTTCACCCGCCGAGTCTTCTGGCTCTTTTATTTTATAGCAATTTTATTCTTTGTTTAGATTTAGAAGGTTTTTTGAATTGGAACAATGCCCGGTTACCTGCTCGATTGGTTCGATCGGTTAGTCCAGTCCGAATTTCTAAACATTGTTGTAAACATGTATTCATAGACTTGTCGAGGCTAACTTCCAGATATTATCGCGATCAAATAATAATAGTGTTATAGAAATTAATAAATTTTAGGGCAAATTTTACTTTACCCCTTGTGATTTGCTTCATGTGCTGATTGTTCCTCTCTCATTTGAAAATAATTACATAGGTCCCTTGTAGTTTGTAAACTAAAGTACATTAAATATTTTCGTCTGACTTAATAATAAGTATAAAACACGTGTCAAATATACAGATGTTATATACTCATTTTCAAATTTTAATGGAATAAATCTCATATGGAATAAAGTAAAGGGGTGAAAATATTTTTTGCATTCTAAATAACAAAAATATTCATAATTCACACACTTAGATTACTTATATAGAAGAATATTTTAGTCTTTTTCCTTAAATTGTTAATAAGTCTAGTGGTACACTTTAATTTATAAACCATAATATATTATGTTATTATTTTTAAATGAAAATGTGGTAATCCGTATATGGGCTTAACCACAAGGGTAAAATAAAATTTGTTTTAAATTTTATAACTTTTATTACCTAGTGTCTCGCTGATATAGCATATATTATATAATTATTATGGTCCATATTGTGGAATTTAAAATTTTAATTGCGTAACACATCAATTAGTATTAAAAGTTCATAAATTCTTTTTTATTTGTATAATATTTCAAAATAATAACAATAAGAGAGTGAGAGTAATCAAGTCCGTGAGATTTCTACCATTGTAGGTCTTATGAGGATTAAAGTACATGGTCTTGTGCCATATATAAAAAGATTGATTCTATGTTTTGGAAACATAATGCCCAAGTTACAATATAATATAGAGAAAGTTATTGAAAAATCCACTCTAACAATTGTTGAAGACATTAGGTTCAGTAAATATTTTTTATTAGTGAGATATCTATTATTTATAAAATAGTTTGGTGAGAAGTCTTTTTGTTGGTCTTAAAGAGCATTTTGTTTCCAATTTTATCCCGTAATTTATCTGTTGATTTTTGTTTTTACTATCTGTTCTAAATTATGTCTACTATCTATTCAAATTTATAGCTATCTATTGAATTTGTTCCATATCTGTTCAATTTATGTTTATTTGTTCATTTTTTAACTTTATCTGTTTAATTTTATGATCTTTTTAGTTTATATTTTATTCCTATCTGTTCAATTTTTTTCCTTAATTTTTATATGTTAAAATTCTATCTGTTCAATTTTTATTTTTTTTTATTTTTTCTACTTGTTGAAATATCATGCCAAACCAAATCATATCTGTTCAAATATTTCTTCTTCTTCTTCTTCTCTCTCTCTCTCTCTTATCTATTCAAAAGCATTATTAACAACAAGAACAAATTATTTGCTCATCAATAACAATATCATCACCAAATCTTATTTGTTCAATAACAACAACAATAATCACAATCAACAACAGATAATAAAAAGAAAAAAGAAAAAAAATTTGAACATTTTTATCCATAACTAGATCCAAACTCTCATTGTAAGAGAACACCCACACATTCACATCTCCCCCACATACACACACATACATCATCAAATCTGAGTACCTTGACATCCTATTTTGTCTGCTCTCTAAGTTTATCAAACACTTTCGAAACACAACCTCAAGCATTGAACCTGACTACTAGGCATAATAGAACTCTCATGTTCCTTTACTTCGCCATCTCTAATCCTAAAATCATAGGTAAATGTATAAACATATTAATATATACGTATATGTATGTATGTATATGATGAGAGAGAAAGTACTACATTTGAGTTTGAACAGAAGGGTAAGATTGAGATATCAGATCTAACGTGAGGTGAAGATCTCAAATCTGACGCAATCTGAGAAAGGAGGCGACAACGAGAGGAGACAGTGGTGTTAGAAAGAAAGATCGACTAAGATAAAGAAGATAGAAGAGAGAAAGAGGAGATATGAGATTTGAGCACTATGGTGATGAGATCGTCGTAATCGAAGCACCACGACGGCGACATCGGAGAAAGGGAGAGAATCAGTTTAGTGGTTGTATCGGCTGTTGAAGAAAACAGAGGAGAGATGGGTCAGAGGTGGCGATGTTGACGATGGAACTGTTGGAGTGAAGGCTAGAGAAAACATCAAAGGAATAGTGGAATTTCGAAAAGAGTGGACAAGTAGAGAGAGAGAGGTTTAGGGTTAGGGTTAGGGTTAAGGTTTGGAGATAGGAGAAGAGAGAGAGAATAAAAGAGAGAGAGTGTGTGTAACTGTGAATCTCTTATGTTGAATATTTGAGTACCGTGTATATGATATATATATATATATAGGGATATTTTGGTCATTTTGTCTAAGGTTGTCCTTTTAAACAAAATATTTTTGCGACTGGACTTCTGGCCAAACAAAATTAAGATTTGAATTTATGGACCGAGTGCCCTATAATATAAGGGACCACAATGTCAAAACCACCCTTTATCTCATTCCAAAGCAAAGTTAAAAAAATAGAATTAAAATATTTTCATGGATTTTATAAATTTTAATTTTGTTGTGATAGTTCTTATTTTTGTTTTTGTTTTTTTGTTTGTTGAAATGTTTTGAATAATTTTTAAATTTTGAAATTCTTAAATTATTATAGGCAATCTTAGAATAAAAAATGTGCATTTAAGTTTCTTGACATAAATTACTTTTCAAATATGAAAATTATCGTGTTAAAATAATAAATATTTAAAAATAGCAAAAAAAATAAAACATGTTTCTTGAGTAACTCTACATTTCAACATTAAATAATTTTAATATTTTAAGTTTACCACTCTAATTTTGTTGACGAGTAATTAGGGTATATATGATACACACTAACAAAACACATTGTTAATCACATGAATTCAAACTCGGTTATTTCTTAGAAGTGTTCATTGGAATTCCACTTGTCACTATGGGTTGTGAATAGTACACATGCAAGTACATATCAATCAATAGGTTAAAGGAAGTCAAACTCAAGATCTCATCAAGAGACATAATAATAGTGTCAATCAAAGGTCGTCAACACACATGGGCTACAACAAATATACTTTAGAGCAATACTACGTACCTCAAATTTGATCTTGGCTCGAATTTTGTTTTGCCGATCGGTTGTTTGGTAAAAAGGGTTGATAGCCGCGGTCGACAAGGTGACAATCGCGGTAGACAAGTGCTTCACCCGGTCGTCCTGGTGGTCATCTGGTCGGTCGACCGGTGAACACAAATTCAAGCCATTTGAGGCAGCTCAATTTGAAGCACCAAGGATTTCTCTATACTTTATTTATGGCTTAAAATGGTTACAGCCGTGCTACAGGCCTCGAAAGTTAAGGCGCGAATTTGCCTCAAATTGTATTTTTTTTTTTTATTTGTTGCTGTGCTGGTTTTGTTTTGGGTTTTTTTTTTTTTTTTGAAGGGTGGTTATGTGTACCCTAAACTCTAAATCTTAAATCCTAAAACCCCAAACTCTAAACCCTAACCCCTAAATCTTAAAACCTAAATCCTAAACCCTAAACCTCTTAAACCCTAAATCCTAAAACCTTAAACCCTAAACCTTAAAATCCTAAATCCTAAAACCCTAAATCCTAAAACCCTAAACCCTAAACCCTAAATCCTAAAACTCTAAACCCTAAACCCTAAACCTCTTAAAACTCAAATCCTAAAACCCTAAACCGTAAACCTCTTAAACCATAAACCTTAAACCTCTTAAACCCTAAATTGTAAATCCTAAAACCCTAAACCCACTCCTACACATAATCACCCTTAAAAAATAAAAAAATAAAAAAAACCCCAAACCAAACCAACACAACACCAAAACAATAAAAAAAAAAGAAAAAATAAAAATTTGAGGTGCATTCGTGGCCTCAAGCATTAATCAAATGGTTAATAGCATATTTAACAATTTTACTAATAAAATCATCACTTTAACTTTAATCCTTACAAAACAAATTCAAAGTAATCCACTTATTGATGCTCTTGTATTTAACTCCATTCATTCCCGAGAATACATAGTAGAATCACGGGGGTAATTTAAATGGTCAGAACTCATGGATCTCAAGTCAACGATTCGAGTCTTATTTTTCCCTCCCATAAATCGAAAAAGAAAAATGAGGAGAAGAGAATACATAGTTAAATCAAATAAAATAACAAAGACACTTATTTGTGTCATCCAAAAACCGCATAAACTTTTTTTTGGGGGTAAGAAAATGCATAAACTTCATCCGAAGAAGCCTTTTCTTTCATTGCGGTTGATTGATGAAAGTATTGAGAGTATAGCCATGCAAATGAAACCCGCAAATAGAATCCCAGTAGCTATGTAACCTCTGTTAAGGAACGAAATTGTTTTTGATTCTTGCTCATCAAGTCCTTCATAATCATCAAAAATCGATTGAATAATTCTCTTTAGCTCATGTGTGACAGCAAAGCCAGCTCCAACTCCGGTTGCTAAAAGGAAGCTGATAATCTGCCAAAGTTTTAAATCAAAATCTCATATTAAATTGATTGGTAATTGTTGAAAAATAATGGTTTTGCGATGACTTTTATGCAATATTAAAGTGGGTGCCAATTATCAAGTGAGGTGGATTAAAGTGGGTTTAGATTATTTGTAGTGAAATCTTTACACTACAAAAAGAATAACAAAAAATCATTAAGATTTGAATGAGAAATTGATTCATTAAGTTGGCCTCATGAAAGAGATGTTGGGAAAAGTGTAAAACCTTCTATCCCACATTGATTGTAGAGGAGAGCATTGATGAGTATTTAAATCTCATTTTTTGCCTAAGGGTGTGAGCCCTTTGGGGCATCCAAATTTTTTGAAGGAAGGGAGTTATGAATGCTTCAAGGATGGACTTGGGCCGGGTCCGGGTCTGAGTCTGTGGGTCGTGGATATTGAATCTTGGGGCATGAGGCTTGAGGCTTGCTAAACTAGATTGAGTGTGGGGGTTGGGCCTGGCCCACCCATCTTAATCTTTTTGGGCCCAGCCAGATCTGTGGGCTGCAAAAATATACACACAATACACATGTATATATAAAATGTGTAACCCATCTACATTCATGATGGATTAATCCATCAGTTTTGCAGGTTAATATAGAATTTATTTCTGCATTTGTGATGGGTCTTGATGGTAGGAGCCTTTTCCTCTCTCCATCCATGTGTATAAAATGAAGCACTCTCCTTTAGTTTTCACCAACAGAAATTTTGTTATCTTTGTGTTGTTACAACGTTCCAGTTTTTTTCCCTTTCTAGTGAGAGAGTGCTACTTAAGTTTTGTTCGCTGAAACTACACAGTTGGTGCTTGACTGTAGCTGATCCAACTATCGTATCTTGGGATATAGACGTCGAACAACCTCTAGCACCCTAATCGATGAGGCGGCGAATATGTTTTAGGAAACTGTCTAGTGCAGATTTCGATTTGCTTTCTTTACCATTTTATTGTATTATGTATATTTCTGTACAATATGGTTGTAAACTTCAACATGTTTTCTTATTCTGTAATTTAATTTGATTAATCATGAATCTATTTATCTTATTTACTTACACAATTTGTACATCAGTAATATCCAAGAATACATTTTTTTACCAGTAGAAATTAGAATGAATCAATAGTTGTTTTTCAAAAAAAGATGCTAGCAAAACTTAAAGATAAATAAATAAGTTCAACAAAGACAAAAATAAAAAAATAAATTTAGAATGTCATAATTTTCACTATACAACTGTACACAACCTTTTTATTTTTATTTTTACTAGTCAAGATTTATAAAACAAGATCAATATTGGATATGAAAATATGTGAAAAAAACAAAATTTTTTACTTTTTCTAGCACAAAATTTACATTTTTAGAAACTATGAAATTTATAATTTCACAATTTTTGTGCATGATAAACTGTGAAATTTCATAGTTTATATTCTGAAATTTAATCGTTTTTAAAATCTGAAATTTCACAATATAGGTATTTGAGAATTCCAAAATTAGCAGTTTTCTCAATTGAAATGCTACCAACTTTCATATTTCGTCAGCTGAGAAACTACCAGCTTTTACAATTTTTTGCACAAAAAATGCGAAATTTCATAGTTCCATAAATTTTAAAATATTTTTTAAAAATTGCAAAAATTTCATCGTTTATATGTATTTGAGAAATTGCAGAATTTCAGGGTCACTAAACAAAAACTATGAAATTTCATAGTTTTGTAAACTATGAAAATTTAAGAAATTGATAAATTTCTTTCTTTTAAAAAAAATTGCAAAAATGTTTTAGCTTCTACTGGGAAATTTTTTAGTTTTATTTTTCAAAATTTTGTATTGAAAATTATTTTATAGATGTTATCATATAGGTTCCAAAGCATAATTTTTAAGAAAAACAAATGTGCAGAGTCAAGTTATGAAATTTAATTTAATTTTTGTTTTTGTTTTTGAAAGCATTAATCTAAATTGTGGCATCTGAATCTCTGATTTTTTTTTTTAAAAAAAAAAGGGAAAAAAGAAAAAAAACAAAAAGCAATTCAAAAGGGATGGAAATCATGTGGCTTTTGAATATTTTGGATGTGAAAGTGTAAAAGAAAGGAAGATGCTGGTCTCCTGGTGGGATTTTTAAGAGCAATGATTGAGACTCCAACCTCCATAAGACCCTTACAAATCTAAATTATTTCCACATATACATGAGTGGACCCCACACATACATGGAGGGCTATGATCACTTTGGGGGTGTGGGAGTCATCCTAAAAGGGGTCCCAAACATTTTTCGATTTTTAATTGAATGGTATTGTTGGGTCTTAGTAGACTCACTTTAAGGCTCATATTAATAATCTCAACCGTTTATTATTCATTAAAAAATTTTAGTTTATCAGAAAATCGTAACCACGTATTCTTATTTATTTTCAAAAAAATAGACAATAAATATAATTTTGAGAATAAGTCATTTATTATTTTTAAAAATAAATGTGATGAATCATGTAATTACAGTAATGCAATCGACATGATTTTTTATATAAATAATCTTATAAGAAAGGCTTATAAAATGAACGACTAATGGTTCAAATTATCGACATAGGTCCAACAATGGACTCACTAAAACCTAAAATAGTGATCCAGCTAAATAACCTAACTGAAGATAATTTGTTCTCTAAGATTGTCTTTGAATTATTAATTTAAATAGAAAACATAAAAACAAATTAGAGCCAGACCTTGTCTCCATAAAAGTCAAACTCAGGTAGACAATCCAATCTCTTTTCAGTGCAGACATAATAAATAGCAAATGGTAATTGTAATGTCGTGTAAACAAACCCAATCACTCCAGTTGTTATCACAAACCTGCAATTTTGCAACACAAAAAAGAGATCATCATCGCCGCATACAAACAAGTAAAGCAATTATGGGTTATTTTGGAAAGTAGGTTTAAAGTTAATTTTTGATTTTTTTTTGTTTGAAAAAATATATAAAAAAATAGAGAAGTGATATGATTAAAAATAGTTTAAAAGTCAAAAAATAACTTTTAACCTAGTACCCAAAAGAGGTCTATATATTTATTTTAGGGTAAATTACACTGACACCCCTTGAGGTTTCCGTTTAATACAGATTCCCTTTCATATTTGAAAAATTACACTTACTCCCGTATCAGATTAAAATGACATATTTGTCATTTAGCCTTTATACATATAAAATAATATAGATATTTTATTCATGTCATTTCAAGAAAATAACAATCATCTTTTTTTTATTTAACTTGCACAAAAAATTAATTTTTTTAATTTTTTGTGTTAATTTTTTTTAATATTTTCAACATTTTTAAATTTTTTTTTAGATACATCTAATCTAAATATACTTAAGAAGTATAATATTCTCTTTTTTTTTTTAAATTCACCAAAAAAAAAATAAAATCAATACATTACCTTATTTTGTTGTATTTAATGGATTTTTTTTTTAAAAAAAATTGTACGAATTTTGTACTTTTTAAATATATCTAGATTGAATTGATCTAATCTAGATATAATGGTGGAAATGAAAATGAAAAATTATATTCATATATAAAAATTTATACAAAAAATATCATGAAAATGTTGTGATAGTGATATTGTTATAAATATAAATCATATTTATGAGTGTTTTATTTTAAAGTGAAAGGTCATCATTCAATTATATCTTAGAGTTTGAAAATTCTATATAAATTTTATATTTGTATATCATCACTCAATAAGAATATATTAATGTAGAATTTAATGATGGAAAGTTGTAGATTGTAATCATGATGATATGAAGAAAAAATAGTAAGAAAAATTCACCAAAAATTTAAATTCACCAAAAAAAAAAAAAAATCAATACATTACCTTATTTTGTTGTATTTAATGGATTTTTTTATAAAAAAAATTGTACAAATTTTGTACTTTTTAAATATATCTAGATTGAATTGATCTAATCTAGATATAATGGTGGAAATGAAAATGAAAAATTATATTCATATAAAAAAATTTATACAAAAAATATCATGAAAATGTTGTGATAGTGATATTGTTATAAATATAAATCATATTTATGAGTGTTTTATTTTAAAGTGAAAGGTCATCATTCAATTATATCTTAGAGTTTGAAAATTCTATATAAATTTTATCTTTGTATATCATCACTCAACAAGAATATATTAATGTAGAATTTAATGATGGAAAGTTGTAGATTGTAATCATGATGATATGAAGAAAAAATAGTAAGAAAAAGGGCAAGATGATCATTTAGAAAATTTTAGGGTATGAGATCAGCAATCCAAGGGATAATTTGTAATGAGATTATAAATTTCAGAGAGGAGAACACAATTTTTTAAATGTGAGGAGAGATCTGTATTAAATAGAAATCTCAGTGGGTGTCAATGTAATTTACCCTTTATTTTATTTTACTAAGTTTCTCTTTGGTCGAGTTTTGTTTTCTGAGTTGTTTTGAAAAATTTAAAAGCTAGTTTGAAAAAAAAAAGAAGAAAAAAACACAAAAAAATATGTTTATGAATTTTTAAAAATTATTTCAGTCCAAAAAAATAGAAAGGATATTCGGGGCATAAATTCAATTTTAATACTTTTGAGACAATAGTCTCAAATTCTAATCTTTTAGAACCATAAGAACAATAATGATTTGAAATATCATATCATCCATACTTATCATTTACCTGTCCACAAGACCTATCTATTTGTATTCCCACCACCACCATCAGCCACCATTGGGCTGCCACTTCTAGCGCCGGTGACTGTTTTGGTGATTCCTGGTTGTGGGAAATGAAAAAAAAATTATCGTTCAAAACAATAATTTATTTTTTCCCACCAAACAAATTCATTAATCATATTTTTTCCACCAAACAAATTCATTAATCTTGCCTTTATAATCGACATTTGCATTCCACATGTGTTCACTAATCAGCTGGTGTGTGGGCTTACATATAATTTCTCATCAAAAATGAAAAACTGATTTAAAATTTTTTTTTTTGGGACAAAAGCTTGGCTTTATTTATAGGAATCGCTATTTTCATTCCATTTTATTTCAAATACATTTTTTTTTTGTTCTTATTATACATAGTTATATTAATACCTTTGAAATTTTAGTTTTTTGAGGGAGTATATTTTGTATGAAAGGGTATTAATATAACTATGTATAATATATGATAAAAAATAGAGTGTATTTGGAGCAAAGTGAAGTGAGAATAATGACTCCCTTATTTATTTATTAAGTGCTAAAATATATACATTGATGCCTCCTAAACTACATTATTAGTTAAGTCCATATCAATTATTATTTAATAATTTTAATGAATTTGTATATTGTGCAGGTTATATGGACCTTTGTAATGAAAAGTATGTTTTTATACTCTTTTTAAACCCATTCCAACCATAATAGTTATGGGAGTATAAAGGGATAACTTAGCTTCATAAAAAGGGGTCTTATTCTGGAGATATCAAAAGGAGGTACAAAAGGCAAGGGAGAGGAAACCTATGGTTCCAAGGATGGAGTTCTCCATACCTATGGCGTCTTTCCAAGGATGGAGTTCTCCATACCTATGGCGTCTTCACCTTCTTTAGGGGCGACTAATCTTTTTCTTAGGGATTGAGATGGAACCCTAGTCAAGTAACTTGTAATTGTGTATTTAAATTATAATTTTTCTTTGAATTTGGACAATCATTGTATGATTATTAAAGATCTTTTGTCCTAGAAATATTTTCATTTGAGTTATGTATTTGATTTCTGTGATTAATAATGCATGATTATACAAATGTTTTGTTTGCTTGTATATACAAATCATGAGACGAGTCATGCGTAGGGGAGACGAGTCGTGTTGTAACCCTAGTTTAGTGTGGACAATTCGTGTCGATCGAAGATGATTCGTGTATGTGATTTGATTATATTCATCCTCTTGACGATGATATCGGGACTTGTAGCCATAATACATCAATATTATCCGAATTATTGATTTATTAGAATTTAATATATTAATTACTTGTTATGAGATTAGAGGTGAATTCGAAACCCCAAACTATTTTCTATTTCAATTCTACCTCAATCTTTCTTTTTGTTTAATAATTTTTTTAGTTAATTTTATATTAAAATCAAAATATTCACCTGATTCGAATTAATTAAAAATTGATTTTCTAATATTTAAACAACTTCGTCTTTTAGCCCTGGTGGATCGATACCCGAACTAAACCACTATTCTATTGAATTAAGGTCTTAATAAGGATTTATTTTTGGTGTGAAAAACGATCAACCATTTATTTATTTATTTTTTTGTGCTCATTAAAGTTGAAAAATGAAGGGTAAATTACACTGACACCCCTGAGGTTTCTGTTTAATACAGATTCCCTCTTCACATTTGAAAAATTACATTCTCCTTCCCGAGGTTTGTAATCTCATTACAAATTGCCCTTTAGATTTCTAATGTCATGTCCTAAAATTTTATAAATGACCATCTTGTCATTTTTCTTATCATTTATCATTCTTATCATCATGATTACATTCTACAACTTTTCATTATTAAATTCTACCTGAACATATTCTTATTGAGTGATGATATACAAACATAAATTTTATATACAATTTTCAAATATAATGATATAGTTTAATGGTGACCTTTCACTTTAAAATAAAATACCCATAAAGATAATCTACATTTACAACAATATCACTATCTCAACATTTTTATAATTTTTTTGTATAAATTTTTATATATGAACATAACTTTTCATTTTTATTTCCACCATTATATCTAGATTAGATCAATTTAATCTAGATAAATTTAAAAAGTATAAAATTTGTATTAAAAACTTCAAAAAAACTTCAAAAAAATCATTGAATACAACAAAAATAAGATAATGTATTGAATTTTTATATTTTTGTATTTTTTTTTTTGGTAATTGGTGAATTTCAAAAGAAAAAAGAAAAAATATTATACTTCTTAAAAATATCTAGATTAGGTATATCTAAAAAATAAAAATAAAAATTGTTTAAAATATTTAAAAAATAAAGTAAAAATTAAAAAAAAAATGAAAAATAAAAAATCACAATTTTTAGTGTGAGTTAAACTAAAGAAGATGATTGTTATTTTTTTTGAATGGCATGAACAAAATATTTGTATTATTTTATATCTCTAAAGGTTAATGAGCAAATATGCCATTTGAATCTGACAATCGAATAAGTGTAATTTTTCAAATGTAAAAAGAAATCTATATTACATAGAAACCTAAAAAAGTGCCAGTGTAATTTACCCAAAAATGAAAAAGTAAGTTATATGATGCCAATACATTGTTTCAAGCTATATTATTTATATCTTATATTCGATTATAAAGTTGGTGAAAGTGTCATTTGTTACACAAAATACCATCTTTTAAAGATAAATATATATAGTTTGAAGTGGAAATTATGAGTAAAATACCTGTAAGCAATGATATCTTTGAAAGAAGTTTTAGAGCCATCACTGAGTTTGAAATTGTCTGTAGCCATAACCACTACAGAAGCAGCTAGAATGATGAGGGTGAATATCCTCAACACTAGGGTTGAGTTTGCTATGCTTTTCTTTGAATTTGCCATTTTTGCAAATCCCCTAAACTCTGTTTGGATTACTTACACACCCTCTCTCTCTCTATGCTTATGCTCATTGATGATCAAAGAAGAGTCATTCATTTATAGGGAAAACAAACAGCAACCTACTCTCTCTCTCTCTCGTTAATGTCAAGAGTTTTTTGGCTGCATGCATCCTAGGCAGGAATGAAATTAGAAAAAGACTACCAGAGGCCATACCCCTTTATTTCTATGAAAAGTTCTATTTACTATTAACACTTTTAAAATATTCATCTTATTTTATAAATAAAATAGTTCTTCAGTATAAAAGATATATATTACATTCTTTTATCATCTTAAATTCTTTTTTTGTTTTGTACCAAAAAAATAATTTATCCTATTAGATATTACTTCTATAGTATTTGATTTTTTTTATGTGTATATATAATTTATATATCATATTATATATATATGTGTGTTTATATATATGGTGAATTTTTTTTAGAAAAATGCTTGGGAGCACTAATTAGTGCTCCCACTAATTAGGTGGCAGTGGGTCCCGCCATTAATGATGTGATGTTTTGGTCTTGGAGTTGTATTTTTTTTTTAAAACTTTTTTAACGCATTAGTACTATTAGTGGTGGTGTTTTTAGTAGGATGAATCATTGTTGTTTTTTTTTATTTGTCTTTAGTACCTCCGGTGGTGAAATCCTGATTTCATCCTTGATCTTAGGTGGTTGTGTTCACATAAATATTGAGTTATAACCATTAAATTAATGAAAAATTGAATATTGTTGTGGTGGGGATTACATGATTAAATTAGTAGGAGATAATAATTTCATCTAATTCTAATTTTTTTATTGATTGGTGATACAATGTGAGATGGTGTTACTAATATAATAATTTCTCTAAAAGTGAATTTTTTTTTGCAAAAGACATTTAGGAACTAATTTCTATTATCGTGAAGATAATCGCTAAAAGATCGTCACATTGTTTAAAGCTATATTTATTTATTTATATTTTATATTTGGCACCAAAGCAGGTGAAAGAGAATAATATTTTTTTTTCATTGTATAAATAAACAACACAAAAAAAAAATTCAAATATCATATAAACAATCTCTAATAGGATGAAAAAAAAATTAGTAGAAATAAAACGAATTTTTTTGGTAAAAGAATGAAATATATATCTTTTATACCAATAGGTCATTTTATATATTTAGAAATGCTATGGAAAACATATGTAGCATTTGGTAGAGTTTTCTAAATATGATTTGAGAATAGAGTTATATTTTGAGTTTGTGAGTTTTTGAATTATGATTTGAGTGTGAAAAATTTGTTTGGTGAATAAGTTTTGAATTGAGCGGGAAATTTTTGATGTGAAATATGATATATGATACAAAAATTTACAACTCATAATCAAACACACAACTCAAAAATCTATTAAAAGCTCATAATTTTTTTTTTAAAATTCTGAAAATATTATTTTATTAAAAATATAAAAAAGTGCCAATTGAAAAAAAAATAAAAAATTGCCATGTTCCGATTGATAGGCCGGATGACCGATTAAGCCAAATTTCAAAAATAAAAATAAAATTTCGCCTGACACAGAGTTTTCTTTTTGTTGTGGAAATATAATTTGAAAGATGTATTTAAACATCACATTAGAAAGTGGGGGTGAAATTATAGTTTGAAAATCCATCCAAAAATAATTTTTTACAAAAATAAGAAAGTTATGACACCTCATAATCTTCTGCTAGTTCCATCTCTAAATCTGAATAACAAAAAGTGCAATTAAATAGTAATAGAGATATTTTTAAATTCTATTTTTTAATTATAAACTTCCAATTTAATTAAGGTTGTTCCAAAAAATTTATCATGAGTATCAATGCAAGTGATAATATAAAGAGTTAGTTATTTAAAAGTCCTATTTACAAATATTGCGGTAATTCAGGTCTTATCTAATATTTTTTGAACTAATAAGTTTTATTCAGTAAAACTGAGAATAATATTGTTTTTTTTTTTTTTCTAATTTTTAAAACTAAGAATATTATCAATTTTACATGAGAATGTTCCCGATAATTGTTTCACTAACTGATAAAAAAAACAGAGTATGAGATTAAACATTTTCGCCCTTCTACTTATTGGTTTGATTTAACTATCTAATAAAACTAAGAACATTATCAGTTTTTGCATTTTTAATTTTTTTTTTCAGTTTTGTACATCAATGTTCCATCATCATGCTCCTTTATAGACACAAAATTTTCAGTTTTGTACAAAAAAATAATTTAGGTTTTTTAATTTTTTCAAAAAAAAAACTTTCTTTTTCTTTTTGCTTATAATTTTTTTTTAGTTTTTTCAATTTGAAGTTAATGTTTTAAAATTTTAAAAATCAAAATAAATGTCAAATCATCATGTTTCTTTATAAATAATTATAAATGATGAACAATCATTGTTTGAAAGCAATTTCGATTATTAAAAATTTAATAGGACTTGAAGGTCTAAAAAATCTTATTTAGAACTTAATAGAGTAAAGTTCATAAATTAAGACTTATGTGTATAAAATATAAATATGTCTGTGATATATTTTTATACAAAAATGATTGGGAGCTCTAATAAAAGAGCTCTAATAAGAGTGGATTTTACTGTGATGTGATGTTTTGATCTTGTATTTTTTTTATTTTTTATTTTTTTTTTGTCTGCCACATCATTAAAGCTCAATTAGAATTCCAAAATTAAAGGGATGTATCATTGCTCATTTATATAGATATAATATTATGAATTGTGTATGGGGGCTTAGGAGAAAACAAGAAGCAGTCTAAGCAGGCGGACGAGAATGTCAAAGCAAAAACGAGTAAGCAAGCAAGAAGATGATAGCAATGCGAAAGGGGCTGGGAGAGAGAGAGAGAGAGAACCACTGGGTTCATCTTGCCAAATCGATCACTCCGGTGGCTTGGAGATTGAATTTTTTAAATAATTTTTTTTATTAAAAGACGTATAAGAAAATAGATAGAAATTAATTTTTTATTTTTTTTTTATTTTAACTAGTTTTTAACTTTTTGACTATTTTATTGAGTTGTCAGGCCTTAGGATAAGACTATGACAATATTATTTTCAAGATAAAATATACACTATGTTAGAACTTTCTGGTAATATTATGGTATACATCTTTTTATGCAAGTTATGGCATTTATAAGGTTGATTATCATAGATGTCATAACTCGACCTTATGAGAGTTATATTAAAAAAAATATGAGTTATAACCAAACACCGATATAATTAAAGAATTTTTAAATCATAAATAATGTCATAATTAATGTCGCAATGAGTCTTTACTAATACTTAACAAGGATCCTCTAGAGTTTTTTTTTTCCTAAAGTTTCTTAGAGTGGTATGTTGTATGGTTGAGATTTAATGACAAGTCACATCAATTTCACCTCAATTTTTTAGCATTAACTCTCACCCATACAACACATCACTTTAAGAAACTTTAAGAAAAAAAACTCTAGAGAATCCTTGATGATACTTTAATAAATCATAATTAAATATTACAAATGTTGTAAGATGCATAGAGTATACACCCCAATGGAATTTTCCTAAAACAAAAGTAAATGTCATCTTAAATAAGTTCACATTGCATGAATCCAAACTTAAAAGGGTGTTTTGAAAAATGACTATTTTAGTTGGTTTTTTAATTTTTTATGAAAAAATATAAAAAAAAATACTCCCTCTGTCTCAAAATAATGGTCCATTTTGGAGAATTTAACTTTTTTTGGTAGTACAATTATTGCATTTGAAAAAAGTTGATTTTCTAAAATTATCCTTTTGATAGTACATTTTTTAGGAATATCAATGTCATAATTGTATTTTTTATATTGTTTATTAATTTAAAAGAAGGACAAAATAGAAAATTTATATTATTTTTGTACTTGGTTTTTGAAGATAGACTAATATTTTGGGATAATAAAAAATGGAATAAGGGACTAATATTTTGGGACGGAGGGAGTATGAAAAGAAGAATTAACCTTTTAATAATGAATTCTTAATTTTTGTAAAAAGTAGTTTCCAAAACAGGTTAATCTTTTGAAGTGTGAATGCCATCTGTGAATTGTGATTACGAGCTGTGGTCTAGTATGCATTAGAGAGTAATTTTATAAATGTGTATTGCTTATAGGGTAATTTTATTATTAGTCCATAGCGTTTGAATGTGCAAGCTATATATCATATATATTTATGTAAATTCTTATAAATATATGTAAGTTATCTCATAAAATCGTACAAATTTTTATAAATATATGTATCTTAACTGATAAAAAAAAAATCGTGTAAATTTTTACGTAAATTAATTTACAAAAATTTTAAAAAAATCACAATTTATATATATTTATAAGAATTTATACAGATCCATATAGTATGCATCTGTATGCTTAAAAATTGGCCATACAATTATAGACATGGTTGGTAACTTGGTAGAATGGTTGGTAACTTGGTAGAATAGGGATTTATCATAGCTGTGGTGTTGTGGCATGTGTTACAATAGATTTAAGGGAAAGTTATAAAAAAATCTCAAAGTTTGAGTCGTACAATAAAATAAATTTTTATTTTTAATTTTGTTAATTTAAATTTTAAATTTTTTATTTATTTTTAATTTAAAATATATTTTTGTTTAGTTTAATAACTAAAATACTCTTTTTCTGTTGGTTGTACTTAATGAAAACAGGTAAATCATTTAAATTGAAAATAAATCAAAATATTATAATTTAAATTGATAAAATTGAGAAGCCAGGATTTATTTTGTTATAAGGCTCAAACTTTAAGATTTTTTTTTTGTAATTGTCCCTAAATTTAATGTATTTATCTCTTCGGGTTTAAAGTGCAATTACACTTATATATTGGTATTAATTGAAATTAATTAGTAGTGATTAATTAGTAGTGATTATCTTTACATGAAAGAATAAATTATCTTTATATATTGGTCACGGCTAATTGTTGCTCTAGGGGTGAAAAGTGTAATTAACCCTAGAATCATCGTGGTGATTTCAGTTGATCAAAACTCCTATTTCACATTTAGAAAATCAGCAATTGGACTCT